ACGGGCCGATACTATGCTGATCAGAAGCCAAGAGCCTCTTCAGGGTCTCCCACGCTGGTGCAGGGTCCCAAAGCTTTGGGCAGTCCTCGACTGCTTCCCCAGGCCACAGGCAGGGAGCTGGAAGGGAAGCGGGGCTGCCGGGATTAGAACTGGCGCCCATATGGGATCCCGGGCATGCAAGGCGAGGACCTTAACCACTTGCGCCACCGCGCCGGGCCCCATACCAGCTTTTAAAAACTAGAGATCATACCATGCAGATTTTTAGTCATGGAATGAAACTGGAGACTAATGAGTCATAATACCCCAGAAAATATAAAAATACTTGGAAACTGTTTAATAAATGCTAAATAAACAGTGGGTTACAGAAGAAATCAAAGAGGAAATAAAACATTTCTTGGAATGAATGAAGGTGTTAACACAAATTAATAAGCCTTATGAGACCCAGTCAAGGCAGAACTAAGAGAAAAATTAGTGCCTACATCAAGAAACTAGAAAGGCACAAGAAAATGAGTTAAGTATACATATGAAGGAAAAATAGAAAATAGAAAAATAGCAAAATAATCTCAACATTAACAGAAAAAAAAGAAGTAATCAAAATAAGGGAGGAAACAAATTAAATAGAGAATGAAAGAACAATTCATATGCTCAATGAATCAAAGAGCTGATTGTCTGAAAAAAAATCTACAAAAATAGCCCAACTGACCAAAAAAACAAAAAAAAGAGAGAGGGAGAGAAAGAGCAAGAGAAAGAAAGAAATAAAAAGAAGCATTGGACATAAATCAATAGGAATCAATAGAATCAGATGAAAAGGATATACAACAGTGAATATCTCAGACATACAAAAAATAATCAGTAACTATTACAAGCAACTATACACAAACAAATCAGAAGACCTAAAAGAAATAGGTAGATTTTTGGACATATGCAATTTACCAAAAATTGAATCATGAAGTAATTAAAAAGTCTACAAAAATCCATAAAAAGGCAGAGGCAAAATCAGTAATTAAATACCTCCTAAGCCAGGACTGGATGATATACTACTGAACTCTACCAAATCTTTTTTTGTCTACCAAATATTTCAAGATTTTACTCCAATGCTCCACAAGCTATTCAAAACAGTAGAAAGGGAGGCAAGTCTACCAAATTCTTTCTATGGAGTCAACGCTAGCTTTCCTACTTCACTGTTGGTTAGAGTATGGACCAATACAACCACCATGGAAGCTTGCATGGAGAGTGTTAAGACCACTGAAAATTGATCTACCATACGACCCATTCTACACATGATCTACCATATGACCCATTCTACTTGTGGTAATATACACAAAGAAATTAAATCTGCACATTGAGAAAGCAATCTGCATTCCTATATTTATAGCAGCACAATCCACAATAATAAAGACATGGAAACAACCCAGATGTCCATTGAAAGGGGAATGGATAAAGAAACTACTCCATGGAACATTTCTCAGCTATTAAAAAAAAATTTACCATTTTTGACAATATGGTCCCAACTAGAGACCATTATGCTAAGTGAAATAAGCCAATTCCAAAGGGAAAAATTATTATGTTCTTTCTGATATAAGACAACCTTCATGTGAAACACACTAAAAAATAGATATATAAGTAAACACATACATACAAATATGTGTGTATGTTGCAGTATGCATTTCTACACCCACATAAAGACTCCCTGTTAAATAGTTAAATCTACCTTGACTTGCGATAGTAGATTTTCTACCTTTGTCTATGCTTGCAATTCTGTGATGCACTTAAATAGCAGAAGGCTAAACTTGTGACTGTTAATATATATATATTTTATATATAGAATATATTATATGTAATATATAACATATACAATATCACATATATTATATATTATAATATATAATATATGAATATATATACTATATAACATTATATATAATATTGCATATATTATATATTAATATATAATATATTTTATATTATATATTTTTAAAAATTATGTGGTACAATTTTGTATAGACTGGGATTTCCCCCCAAACTCCCACTCCCCCACAAATTTTCCCCATTTTACTACAGTGGTATAGTCCTTCATAAGGAATCATAATTCCATCAGTCTCTTATTTAATTGTACCCCAACATGGCTGGTACAGACAATGTCAGACAGTCCAGCATCCCATTGTCTAAACATGTCCAACAGTTTCCTGGGAGTCCATCTTTTGTCCGGAAACAGGGATTCATGTTGCATTATATCCCCACATCTGGATATGGTAGACTCCAATACTCCATCATTATACATTTCCATAATTGAGAAGCCATGAAACAAGGTCAAGAACTGGTATGAATTAGAACAACAGTCACAACAACAACAAATTGCAGTACTATGAAAAAACGTGCCACTGAGTAACTAACACATGGATGACAAAAAGAAAACACAAAAGTCTCTTGGGAAAAATGATGCCACCGTGTAATACGTGAGCCAGCAATGAATTCAACAAGAGAAAAGTAAGCACTTGGAATAAATAAAACTGAAATAAAAAACATCAAAACACATAGGATGCAGCCAAACAAAACAAAACAAAACAGAGCAGTATAGATTGGATTATTGAAGTTACACTTTCCATGATGGTTTCCTTATATAAGAGAGAACATATGATATTTGTTCTTTTGTGATTGACTCATTCCACTGAGCACAATGGTGTCTAGTTGGGACCACCTGGTTGTAAACAGTATAATTTCATTCTTCCTAATGGCTGAATAATATTCCATGGAATAGATGTACCACCGTTTCTTTAACCACTCTTCTTTGGACTCATATCTGGATTGTTTCCATGTCTTTGCTATTGTAGATTGTGCTGCTGTAAATATAGGATTACTGATCCCCTCCTCACATGCAGATTTCACTCCTTTTGGGTATATTCCTAGGAGCGGGAAAGCTGGGTCATATGGCAGGTTTATTTGCAATTCTCCAAGCACTCTCCATACTGATTTCCACAGTGGTTGCACTAGCCTGCACTCCTACCAGCAGTGAAGGAGGGTACCTTTCTCCCCATATCCACAACTAACAGGTGTTGTTGAGTTCTGAATGTAGGCCAGTCTCACTGGAGTTAGTGGTACCTGAACATGGTTTTCATTTATATCTCGCTGATGGCTAGGGAGCATGAGCGTCTTTTCATATGCGTGCTAGCCATTTGAACCTCTTCTTTTGAAAAATGTTCATTTCCTTTGCCCATTTTGCTACAGGGTTGGTTTTTTTATTGTTGTTGTCCCAGGGTTTCTGAAGTTCTTTGTAAATCCTGGATATTAGTCCCCTATCACTTGTGTAGTGTGCAAAAATGTTCTCCCACTCTGTTAATTGCTTCTTTATTTTGTTAATTGTTTCCTTTGCTGTACAGAAGCTTTTTAGTTTGATGTAGTCCCATTTGTTCATTTTGGCTTTGATTGCCTTTGCTTTTGGCATCTTTTCTAAGAAGTCTTTCCCTGTTCCTATATCTTGGAGTGTTTTTCCTGATGGTTTCTGGGTATGGATTTAGGTACTTGATCCATTTAGAGTTGATTTTTATATAATGCAACAGGTGTGGGTCTTGCTTCTTAATTCTGCAAGCTGCTATCCAGTTGTCCCAACAGTATAGGAGAATCAAAAGACTCAGTCAAGATACTGTTGGAACTCCTAAGAGACTTTGGCAGAGTAGCAGGATACAAAATTAATGAACACAAGTCGATTGCACTAGCACTAGTGTATACAAATAATTCCATGGATGAGAAAGAAATTTTAAGTACAGTGCCCTTTTAAAGAGGTGAGGAATCTCAAATACCTAGGAATTAAGCTAACTAAATACATGGAAGACCTCCATGATAAAAACTACAAAACATTTAAAAAGGAAATAGAAGATCTTGAAAAATTGAGAAACTTTCCATGCTCCTGGATTGGCAGGATCAACATCATCAAAATGACCATACTACCAAAAGCAATATACAGATTAAACGCAATCCCAATCAAAATCCCCACAACATTCTTTTCAGAAATAGAAAAGATGATAGAAAAGTTCCTCTGTAATTACAAAAGACCACAAATAGCCAAAGCTATCTTGAAAAATAGAAATTAAGCTGGAAGAATAACAATTCCAGACCTCAAGACATACTACAGAGCAGTGGTTATCAAAACAGTCTGATATTGGCACAGGAACAGAGAAGAAGATCATTTGAACAGAATAGAAACACCAGAAGGGAGCCCACACATGTATAGTCAACTAATCTTGACAAGAAAACTGAAAACAATCCAGGTAAAAAGCCTGGTCTTTTCAACAAATGCTGTTGGGTCAGCTGGATAGCAGCTTGAAGAATTAAGAAGCAAGACCCACATCTGTCATATTATGTGAAAACCAACTTTAAGTGATTCTTCTTAAGTTCATATTACCCATAATAATATGGAGGAAAATGGTGGGAGGAGAAAATAGGCAGTGTGGAAGTGAAGGGAAAATGGGAAATTCCTTTTATCTATAAAACTATGTCATGAAAAATAATAAAAATAATTTTAAACACTCCAAGAAATCCTTGTCTCCTTTCCTAAGGTATAGGAGTCCCATGCACAATGCAGATTGAAATCTGTCCAGGGCCTGAGTGATTCGCTAGGTCATTTCAGACTCAAAGACCAGGCCACTGTCATTTTGCAGGGAACAGAAAACTGTGAAATGGGGACTAACTTGCTGTGTTACTTATTGCTCTGTTGCTTTTTCAAACCTAAGAGATTGAGTCACTGGTTTATCTTGATTCTCAATCTTGAGTGAGGACTCAGAACTGTTTCCTTTTGGTACCAGTGACACAGGTGTCAGTTTTTCCCAGTGTGCCACAATGCTAACTCCAGTTTCTCTTTTCTTACATGCATGGATGCCTAAGTACTGAATGAGTGCATAGATAGTTGACTGAGTGAATCACAGAACACACTTCCAACCTTTGCAGCCAAACTGAACTTGGGAGTTTCCAAATCTTTGTGTTTGCTCATTGAACACCAAATAGAATAATCTCTACAACATCGTTTATTTTTGTAAATATGCAAATGACAAATTTCCTGAGGAAAAGGAGCTCAATAGGGCTTAAGCTGACACCCACAGGAGAAAGCTGAGTGGGTTCATGTTGTGGTACGAAGGAGCTCCAGCATCCTCTTGTGATGGATCACTGGGCTGCAGAGAGAGAGAGAGAGAGTTAGAAAAGGTGACATCCATTTAGGACTTCTGAGGTCACCTTTTGTGACATATCCATTCATCTCCAGATGAATATATCACTGGCTGAAAAGATGCCTGAATCAAATCACACTGCCAGGCCACTAGTGCAGCATTTCTCACCAAAGAGGGAGCTGCAGGGAATACATGGATGTTGAAATGATGTTGTTCCAATTTCACTGATGTGGTGAGGTAGAGAGAAAAAGTGTGGTAGGGAATACAGAACATGTGAGGCGCTCCTAGGAGAACATCTGGTTTTCTAGATGTTCTTGAAGGCCTCTATGCTCTCAGATACAAACTGCTGGAAGCTTCTGACTTTGGGGTTTAGTCGTTTCGTAAGTTCAAAATCACGTTCTGGATTCTTTAGTGTAAAGCGAAATGCATCGGCCACTCCCTTGGCTTGAGGGATGCTTAGCTTCTCGAAAGCTTCTGGGGTGATCTGTTCAAAGCAAAACAACAGGGAATGTTTTTAAGCACATTCAAAATAATTCTGAAAATACAGTATTTCATTTTGATGATGACACAAGTCCAGAGTTTCATATCTAACTTCCAAAACCAACCTCCTTTCTTCAGAAACTGGGGGACAGCCAATGGACTCTCCTGGTCATATCTGATGGTCAATCTGAGCCCTATGAAGCTATTTATAGTCTTGAAAGATCTCATTTAGAGGAACCAGTCACATGCTTGATGAAGAGTTCTTGCTCCTGGCCCTGCTGGTGATGTCATACCATTTATGTGGAGCTTGTAACTTCTGAGAAAGCTGTAGGATTCAAGAAGCAACATTGCTTCCAGCCTCAGGTGTTTGGGGTAAGCTATGTCACCTTTTGTGTGAACACTTCTACATTCCCCTTGGCTTCCCCTAACAGCCTTCCAGGGGATATCCCTGTTCTGACCCTCCATGCAGTACAAGGTACCTTGTACCCTCACTCTGGCCTGGCCCCTCCTTCTCACCACACTGATGCCCCACCTTCCTCACTAGCCCTCTTGTCCCAGGTGCCTTGTGTCTTCACTCCTCACAGCTCAGCCAGGGACCACTGCCTATGCCCCCTGACCTGTCTTGCACTGTCTATCATACCTACCTACGTACCCCTGGATCCCCTCAGACACCAACTAGATCACTGATTGCCCCTCAGATTCAGCAAAAACTATTTCTACCTGATGTGATACAATCTCTGTAGCTCCCAGGGTCTATTTTGACCTTAGGAACATGATGTTAAAAAGATGTGACACAGGGCACAAGTGTTCATCCTGGTGGCTAAGATACTTGCATTCCACATGGTAGGACCTGGATTCAGTTCCCATCTCTGCCTCTTGTTCTAGCTGCCTGTGGACCCTGATTTGGAGGCAGCTGTGCTAGCTGAGGCAATTGGACTGTTGCCATTGACTTGGGAGGGAGGCCAGGACTGACTCTAACCAGGCCCAGGTAACAACCATTGTAAGCATTTCCAGAATGAAACAAGATGTGGGAGCTCTCTCTCTCTTTAACCTCATACTCCCTCCCTCTTAAATTAAAAAAAAAAAAAACTTTAATGTGACAGACAGAATTGATGTACATGAAATAATTGTTATATGCTATTAATAATGAAAAATTAAGAACCAAGCTGTGGTATCTGTTCTCTAAGAATACCTTGCAGTTACAAAAATAAATGTTTTATTCTTTTCCATACTATTTCAATAAAAATTTGAAAGGAAACAATGAATACTGCATTTGAAAAAATCAAACCAAATTATTGCTTTTTAAAAAGATTTACAAGCTAGACATATACTCATGATATAGCATTAAGTTGAAAGGCTAGATTCAGAATGGACTGTTTGTGTTGTTTCAGATGTATTAAAGATTTATATGTATGTAGTTATTATGGGAAAAGACGAGAAAATCATGGCAGCTTTATCCCTATATGAGATTGAGTTATGTTCAATTTATTTTTCCTTTGCATCAGTGTCTACACTAAACAATCGCGATTTTGTAATCCACAAAATCTTACTGAGTTTGTCAACAGAAGTTTCTGTGAATGATGCACGAATGATCAATTTGTGTGCCTCTTTGAGTCACTTTGATAGCTCTAGTAACTCATGTATCTCAGAAAGCAGGGAATTCCTGGGCTGCACATTTTCAGCACAGAGAACGCGTGCTGTTGAGTCTCACTGTCTGTGAGAGCCATGCTCTGCCAGGGTCAGACACATCCTCTCAGCTAGAGCAGAGTTCCTGATGGCCTTGTGTTCTGGCCCTGCCTTCCCTGAGGCCCAGTGAGGTGGAGGACCTCACACTGCAAGTCACAGAGCGCCACCTGTGGCAGGCTGCATCCTCCCCAGAATTAGCATAGCAACTAAGCCTTTTCACATTAGAGAAGGGGAGTGGTATCTTCAAGTCAATCTCCTTCCTGTGCATCCCTCACACAAAGGAATAATGTTCCATGCTAGGGTTTCAGCCACATAAAGCAATACAGATAGATTTAAGGAACTGTAGTCCTCTTCAGTGTCCCCTGGCAGGCTACACTTAATCCTGCCTGAACCCACAGAAAGCTCTAGAGGAACTTGCAAATTGACAAGAATGTTAGCACACTCAGTTCCCTAGAACATAGTCTCCTAAGAATTTACCTTTGGGGCCCAATATGACAGTTCAATTGGCTAATCTTCACCTTGCAAATGCTCAAGGATCCCATATGGGAGCCAGTTTATGTCCTGGCTGCTCCACTATTATGGCCTGGGAAAGCAGTCGAGGACAGCCCAAAGCCTTGGGATCCTGCACCCATGTGGGAGACCAGGAAGAAGCTCCTGGCTTTGGATCAGCTCAGCTCTGGCTGTTGTGGCTACTGGGGAGTGAACCAGCAGATGGAAGATCCTTCTCTCTGTCTCCTCTTTTCCACATAAATCTGATCGGCCTTCCCAATAATAATAAATAAATCTTAACAGAAAGAGAACTCACCTTTGAATCTCGGATATCTTTCCCCAAACCCTTGGATAAAATCTCAGCATATTGCTTCACCGTTAGTGCTTCTGCACCGAGATTCAAGTCATGTCCTATGAACTCCTCTGGAGAATTAAAGATGTTAGAGACGATGACTCCAATATCAGCAATGGATATGCCAGGCAGAGGTACATCCCCGGTGGGCAGCACTAGTTTGAAAAAATATAAAAAGCAAGATTAAAACTGTTAACTATGTCGCATCTATCAGCCTCAAATCCCACAGCCACAGAAAATGAGAGGCAGCCATGGAAACCTGAGTGGCTACAGTTCCATATTATACCAATGCTTTGTATGAGAATACATGATTGCCTCTGGATGTCAGCCAAAAAGAACAGCCTTTGGCTACAGAGCTGCTGAGCGCAGAGTAGGGCTCATTGCATCACCAGCCCAGATAGCTCTGCTGAATGTGTCCAGCTTCTTACTCAGTATCCTCACTGATCTGTTTCATAGGTGTTCTCAATATCCCTGGCCCCACCCGGAACTCTACATCACTGATAACCCCCCGCTGCACGCCTCCCCATCTAGGGTATAGCGTCTCTTTTCAGTGTGTCAGATCAGTAACCTCCATGTTAGCAACAAGATCCTCTGCTTTACTTCCCGTGGAATCCTCTTCACTTTGTCTGGAACCAGACTGTTTCTCGACATGTCCAATGCTGTTACTCTGGACCATGCCACCAGCATGCTTGACTTGGGTGAGGACAAAGTCATCATTTACAGTCTCCCAGCACTCAATCCCTATCTAGAACAGCAAGCTCTGTGTGGGTGGAGCCCCACGTCTCAGGACTCTGAATCTGAACAGGCGATCCATGTCAGGAGGGGAACTCATTCCTTGCTTCTTGCCCAAGAAGGTCAAGTGGATCGGCCAGAGGATCCTAGAGGTCATCCTGATGAGAGGTAACTGAAGCTGACTCCTGGCTGATGACTTGCACAAGGTCATCCTGTGAGAGCCTGGGTGTGCACCTTCTGTGCGTTGGGTCTTCGTGAGGTTCTTCACTCTTGATAGTGAAACCACCTGAGAGGGTACCTGAGCAATTGGCAACCCTGTTAGCGCTTCCCACAGAGCTGAGACCCTAGTAGGCACTCGAATATTGTGTGGTTGAAATGGAGGAGAGAGGCAGAGGAGGGAGGACTGGAAGGAGGAAGAGAGTTGGGAGGGAGGGAGGGCAGCAGGTGTCTGGTTGACTTTCCCTGCAACCTTCCACTTACCCAAGGTGTAGTAATCTCCATCAGAGGCTTTGGCAGGTTTCAAACCACCATGAAAATTCTCAAAGTAGAATGGCATGCGGACACTGGTCATGGGGACTGCAATGGACCTGAAGTACTCTTCCACCTCTCCTTTGCCATCGAAGTGTGGTGCAGTCAATTTTCCCCCACTTAGTTTATGCACGTGCTCCAGGCCACTGAACACCACGTGCTTCAGACCTAGGCGCTTGCTGAGATCTGCCACCAGCTTCCCCTAAGGGAACAAAGTGAAGCCAGTATGAGGACCCTAGCTTTGCATACAGACCAGAGGGCATCGCTTCTCCTTTTCATACCATCTGCATCCACATGGAGAGGAAGCACATGTGACCTCTAAATACATCAGGTTATGTGCTGACAGATCACACACAGAACAGTGCCCTGTATCTCATCCTTCCAGCAGTGTTGTTTGGAGCTAGATTAATAGTCCCTGCTCAAACACAGTTGAAGCTGAACCCTGTTCTATGAGGCTTATATTTACTCTGTCCATATTTTGTTCTTCTCTGGAGTTCATCTTTGTGGCTTTATTCGCTTGTTAATTTCTAGGTGCCCATTATGGAACAATCTCTAGATTCTCTTCCTGAAATTTAGAACTCCCATTTCATCCCATTCTCCCTCTTTCACCATCAGAATAGCTTCCATTTGTGTGAGCAGTTCTTCTGCGCATGCCAACACTATCTACAGTAAGTGGGAGCAATGAGTGGCACCATTAAAGAATCTCACATATCTAACTCTTGAAATTTGTATGCGTGCCATTATTTTCACAATCAAAGATACTTTTAGCAAATACTCAAAGTATACACATTTTATGGATAGCACAGGGATGTTGTGGAGTGAACTTCCTATATTGCCCAGACTGATGGCTTGTCCATTCCAGGGAGCACAAAAGTAGTTAGGAATAGCAACAGAAAATGGTGCTGCAGAGTTCATTTTTGTTACTAAGATGAGATTTTTGATTGTGGGGAACTTTTATAAAGAAAAGTAGCTTTGGAAGCTCTTGGTTCTGGATGCTGAAGAGCCTGCAACTGGTTATACCTTCCTGCTGGCAGACGCCCAGAGTGCAGGACATCATCCAGCAACACACAGGGAGCATGTGGGTCTCCTCTGCAGTCTGTCCTTCTTACCAAGAATTAGGGGTCCACAACAGAGGCTCCACTCTCATACCATTCCTAACCCTTCCAACTCCTAAGCCCAGCTACCATATAGTAGTTAGACTACCATACCACAGTTAGATTAAACTTCCACCATCTTCACATCTCACTGTGGGGACTAATTTGAGCAAATGAAAACCTAGGGAACACATTCCAGGCACAGCAGGCTCAAAGGGGCAGGAGGACACAGACAGCTGCTCACCTGACGCACTTCCCTCTCCTGGTCGAGATATTCCCAAAAGTTGGTCACCAGGAAGGCTCCATAGACACCTTTTAAGGCAGTCACTAAAGACACTTCGTCATCCAGATCACATTTCTTCACCTCAGCACCAAGATCCTTGAGCGCCAGGGCACTGGGTTTAGTCACATCTCTGGTCAATGCCCTCACTGTAAAATGTTTGGCATCCAAAAGTGCCCTGGCCACAGAGCCTCCTTGAGCACCTGCAAGTGAGGGAGAAAGAAACATGGGAAAGATCCGGAGGATGATTCACTAGGGAACTTTATCCTCAAAGGTCCCTGATTCAGAGCAGGCCTGGAGTGGCATCTCCTTTGGGAGGCACTGCCTGGCTCTTTGGGTAGCCCATGCCTTTTATACTACTTTCTAACAACTCCTTCAAAGTCCCAAGTGCTATGAATTTCGCAGCCTTATCTCATGCAAATTTGTCAACCCTGAAGTCTGACTGTTATGTGTTTGGTGGGTTAACGGTAGAGACTTAGCTAATCGGAGTATCTAAGACATAGGTCTGTTGTGAGACCCTCAAGTCATGGGTGCTGGTACATACCATTAGAGAGTGGTTCTCCTGAGAGTACTGGGGCCTTTTGAGTACAACCTGGCTGGCTTCACTCCTCTTTCTGCCTTACACTATGATTGTGCTTCTACATCTACCATGTTCAGCTCCCATCAAGTGCCGACTCTAGATTATCCTGCTAATGGAGGACATCCCATTCACCACTGTACAATTTCAGAACTCTGAGGATGCCTGGTGCTAACACCTGGGGTACAAAAATATGGAATGCAGTGGACATTGAAGTATGGGTTAAGAATCCAGTCAGAATTCATGTTTCATGTAAGAGTGCCTAGCTTCATCTCCCAGTTCTGTGGGTACATGCATTCCCCTGAGGCCAAATGCCCTCTTCCCATAAACACATGTGATGATTGGATTACAATCCACCCTAATGGTCGCATGTAAACTGATTATCTCTCTCTGTCTCTCTCTCTCTCTTTTTTTTTTTTTTAAAGATTTACTTATTTATTGGAAAGTCAGATATACAGACAGGAGGAGAGACAGAGAGGAAGATCTTACATCCGATGGTTCACTCCCCAAGTGACCGCAACGGCTGACACTATGCTGATCCGAAGCCAGGATCCAGGAACTTCTTCCGGGTATCCTACACGGGTGCAGGGTCCCAAAGCTTTGGGCCATCCTCGACTGCTTTCCCAGGCCACAGGCAGGGAGCTGGAAGGGAAGTGGAGCTGCCGGGATTAGAACCAGCGCTCATATGGGATCCCAGTGCGTTCAAGACGAGGACTTTAGCCGCTAGGCCATGCCGCCGGGCCCCTGATTATCTCTTTAAAGACCCTGTCTCCAAAAGCAGTCCCATTTTGAAGCACTTGGAGTTAGGACATCAACAGAGGGGATGGAATGATCATGAATATTGTAATTATTTCCTTGCACTTCTGCCCTTGCAAAGCAAGGAACTGGGTAAAAACAGAGACTGTTCATACTGTATTTCCCAATCATGGACTCAGATTACTACCTGGCATGGTAGAGGTTCTCAATGCCTCCTGTCAGCTGAATGAATGGATGAGTGATTGAATGGAGTATAAATACTGAAATCTATGTCCACTTAGCTCTGCGCTTTGGAGATGTGCAGTCCTTTAGGTCTAACATGAGATAAAACAAATAACAAACACCAGGAGCAAAGAGTAAGAGTCACTGGACTATGAGGTCATCAAGGCCTGCAGGTGCAGTGTAATCTAAGGACACTGCAGGAGAGCATGTGCTACAGAATGGATCCTCCTTCACGTGCATTGCTGTGCATGCCAAGATGGATTCTTCCAGTACTGTGGGTCATCCACTCCTCAAAGGAACAGTTGAGAGAAGCTTGAACAGGTAGGAGAGTGAAGCAGTGAAAGCAAATTCATAAAACCTAGTGAACACTCATGTGTTTGGTTTAGTGGTTAAGCTGCCACATGGGATGCCCACCTCCCACATCAGAGTGCCTACGTTTGAGTCCTTGCTCTGCACCTGTTTCCAGCTTCCTGCTGATGCACAATTTGGAGCCAGTGACCAGTGGTGGTTTGAGTGTCCCTGGCAGCCAGAGGGACATCCTAGACAGAAAATCACAGCTCCTGGGGCCCGGCGCGGTGGCGCAGTGGTTAAGGTCCTCACCTTGCACGCCCAGAATCCCATATGGGCGCCGGTTCTACTCCCAGCAGCCCCACTTCCCTTCCAGCTCCCTGCCTGGGGCCCGGGAAAGCAGTCGAGGACAGCCCAAAGCTTTGGGACCCTGCACCCACGTGGGAGTCCCGGAAGAGGCTCCTGGCTTCGGATCGGCATAGCATCGGCCGTTGCGCTCACTTGGGGAGTGAATCATCAGATGTAAGATCTTCCTCTCTGTCTCTCCTCTCTGTATATCCGCCTTTCCAATTAAAAAATAATAAAAATAAATCTTTAAAAAAAAATCACAGCTCCTGGCTTACACCCATTCCAGTCTTGTTGTGGGCATCTGTGGAGTGAATCAGCACATGGGCAATCTCCATCTCTCTGTGTGCCTCTGCCTTGCAAATTAGACAACAATCATAATTTTAAAAAATTAAAAATTAGTGCCAATGATTGAGGAAGAAAACAGAAGTCTACTAGTGAAGAATGTGAAAATTATGAAGATACCTTGTGAGGCAGAAAATTTAAATCATCAAAATAGTAAAATACACAGTAACAGGGACCAGTCCCAGAGGGCACAGAAGATACTGTCTGCAGTATTGGTGTCTTATATAGGCACCAGTTCAAGTCCTGGCTGTTCCATTTCTGATCCAGCTCACTGCTTAACGCCTGGAAAAGCAATGAAAGATGACCCAGGTCCTTGAGCCCCTCGACTCACGTCAGAAACCCAGGAGAGACTCCTGGTTTCTGTTCTCAGATTGGTTCAGCTTGGGACAGTGCAGCCCAAGGGAAGGGAACCAATGGATGGAGATCTCTGTGCTTGTCTCTCTCTCAAATCTACTTCTCAAATAAAAAATACATGAGAACCTAAAGCTACTTGGACTACAGTCTCTCCCAAACATAGAAAACCAGTTGAGTCAATCCACAAGTCAGCCCCCGGTTGAGACAGAGAGATGTGGTCCTTGACCCACTGTGAAAATGGAGTCCAACATCCCAGTCCTGGAGCCACCAATGATGTAAGCTTCTAGGTGTGTTTTCCAGTCCCCTAAAGGGCTTTGTTTAAGCCACACTTGCGAACTGCAGTAAAAAACATTGAGACAGGAGGGTGAGCAGAGTGGGTATGTAGTAAAAAAAAACCTTTCTTACCTGTTGCTCCAAACACAGCAATCACTTTCTTGTTGGCCATGTTTCCGGATGAAGAAGAAGTTTCTGGGGAGCTCTCCTCAGTACAGCAACAGCAGCTGCAATGCAGCTCTGCTTCTTGCACAAGAATTATAAAGCTCTTCTTATAACCACACCCTTAATACATTGTTTCTATTTGTAATTGGCCCGGAACTGGCAGCTGAATTAGTCATTGTGACTCAGCAGTTTCCTTTCCTTTTTTTTTTTAATTCTATTTTATTTTTTAAAATTGCTTTATTTTGACAATCTTTACATAGTTGATTAGGGTACAAAGGGTCAAGGGCTACAGGAAAGTGGGTAAAACCATTGTTTCCACACTAATATCATCATTTCCACCCTGTATCTGGGGTAAGTGGGGAGAAACAAAGGGAGAAGCCCCACCCAGCCTCCCACCCAGCCCAGGTCTCCGGCGTGAGGCATGCTCCAAGGGTCCTGTTCAAGCAGTTTTGATAGTTCAACACTTCTGAACTGCTGCCAAACTCGCTATTCCAAGCACGATGAAACCTCTCCAGAATCCACTGGCTGACATAGTTCACTTCAGAGTCTGTGTTTGCCCAGATTTTCACTGCCAACACATGGCTGGGGCAGTTGATTGATTTTTTTCTGTCCTCCATCCTCTGATGTGGTACCAGGTATCTTCTTCAGGTTCCGATGGACTGCCTATCCTCCATGTGCACCTGGATATGCTGGCCACCAACTCAGCAGTTTTCTATATGATAAATTGTCCTTTCATTCACTCCCTAATAAAACAGTTATAAGGGTCCCTGCATTGGTGGCCTCATGCTGAAGTTCTTGTTTTACATCAGCCAGGATCCTGTGTGGGTGCCGGTTCATGTTCTGGCTGTTCCACTTCTTATCTGGCTTCCTGCTTGTGGCTTGGAAAGGCAGTGGAGGATGGCCCAAAGCCTTGGGACCCTGCACCCTAGTTGGAGACTCAAAAGAAGCTCCTGGCTCCTGGGTTTGGATCTACTCAGCTTTGGCAGTTGTGGCTACTTGAGGAGTAGGTCAGCCGATGGAAGATTTTTCACTCTGTGTCTCCTTCTCTCTATAAATTTGACTTTCTAATAAAAATAAATAAATCTTTAAAAAAATACACATTGGGTGCTTGACTGCGAGGTTTGGGTAAAAGGAGCCCTCAGCAGCATGGCAATGTGAAGGATACCCGAGCCAGGCTGGACCCAATGCTTGGGACCTTGGGCATGGACACTGTCACCATGTGTTGAACGAGTCCTGACTTTTGGGAGGCCATCATGTGAGGTGGCGTGAAGTTCTGCATGCAGGCCTCCCGGCGGCTGGCTCTAGGATTTATGGATGTGTAATTGGTACCTAGAGACATCCAGGGATAAGGCCAATGAGAGGGTAGGTGAGGGATGAATGCAGTGTGACTCCCAGCGACGAGGTCACTGAAGTTGCTAGCAAGTGTGGGAACTGAGACTTGGTGGTTTGGAGGGGAGAGTTTGTAAGATCTGTTTGAGTCAGACTGATTCACCGGCCCACATGTGAGTCCTGAGATGGGCTGTTAGTGCACATTATCACTGACTGCCACACACCAGTCCACACAAAAGCTATGGCTGAGGGCATGTCTGGCAGGGCTAGATCCCAGTACCTGAGTGTCAGAACAGGGGATGGGTCACATTAGGAAGGGTCATGATACCAACTAGCATGTGAGAGAACCAGGTCTGGGGGGTAGATTCTGTGAAGGAATAAATAGGCCTAACCCTGTGAAAACACAAGTCCCACTGGTTAGCTTAAGAGTTGGGGTATGATTCATGGAACCTGCCATCATTCACCGGGTAAACGAACCACCAACAGTCAAGGCAGCAGCACCCGCATGTGCATCCTAAAACAGGATGTGGGGTGGGTCGGGCATAAAGCTCACAGCTCGTACAAGGCCAAGATGGAAGGGCAGACTATGCTGGGCACTGGTCTAGCACCTGCTGGCATGTATGAGATCTGGGTCTGGGACAGGGTCAAGTAGACGCACTTGGGAAACTCCCCTAGTGGATCATAACTCTCACCAACGATCACATGGTCCAGTCCTGGGGGTCAAGCAAGCTGGGCAAAATAGCTCCAACTATTGGCTAATGTGTACGTTTGTTATAGAAGGGGGTGGACTGGACAGGCTGAGCAAACCTCAGCTCATCAGCAAGAACAGAAATCAGCCTGGAGTACAGGTCATGCCGAGCTAGGCTCTTACACCTACTGGTTTGTATGACCCAGGGATTTTAGGTCACAGCATCTAAGGCAAAGGCCAAGAAGGGTGAGGGGCTATGCCAACTGAGTCAGAGCAACCACTGGCACACACAGGATCTATGGTTGGGAACAGGGCTGGTTGGGGACCTACGGGTACACACTTGCTGGGTTGGGGTTCCCACTGGTGAGTGCGGGGGTCAGAGTGGGAGCTGTATTCTGGTCTAGACATGACTGCAGTATCCCTTGGCACAAGTGTGAACTGTGTCTGGGTGCATTGAGCCAGGCTAGACTCCAGCAACATTTGGTGCTCTGGAGGACCAGGGTAGATGTAGGATGGACTAGGCTAGGACTCTGCCCCTAGTGTGCCATGTGTGAGCTATGTCTGGCTATGGATGAGCCTTGGCTGCTCTGAAATGTGCAGCAGTAAGAACCAGAATGGAGTGAAGGCGAGTCACAAAAGGCCGGGACAGGAGGTGGACTGAGTAGGGCTGGCTCATGGACCCATTGGTAGGTGCTGTATCTAGCATTGGGAGAGGTTCTGATGGAGGAGCTTGGGAAACTCCTTTGGCAGGACACAGTCCCTGCAGGGGAGTATAAGAACCACAATAGAGAGCAGCCCGACCAGGCCAGGGAAATGTACCCAGCAGCATACATTTGGCATAGGTCAGGGGCAGACCAGGCTGGGTCAGTTCACATCACCAGCTGGTGAATTTGAGCACCAGAATAGAGTGTGAGTTGGGCCAGGTTCTGTCACAACACATACCAGTACACAGTATGGTTGGGATTGGATACCTGCTGGACTGGGTTAGGCTATAACCCCAACCAGCATCAGCTGGAATTGGTGGTGGGATGGGTCAGGCCAGGCTACAAGCACCCTCTGGTAAAAACCGAGGTGAGGGGAGCCATGCTAGATTGGGCTGCAGCACCCAACCAGCACAAGTGAGAACCAGGGAGAGAGGGGGCAAAGCTGGGAATGTGGAGGGCTCTCCTGCTGGGCCACCACTCCCACTGGAGAGTGTGAGTTGAGATGGGGGGCAGATCAGACCAGGCAGGGCTATAAAACCTGTGGGCCTCATGTGAGCTAGATCAGGGAAAAGACAGTCTGGGTTGAGTGTTCCTACTGGTGTAAGCATAAATCAGAGTGGGTGAGGATTGGTTGGATTTTGCTGCAGCATCAGCAGGCAGATGCTGACACTGGGGGCTAATTCTGTCAAGTTAAACTACAGAACCACTTGGAGACTCCATGATCTGGGTATGGGAGTGGCCCAGTAAGGAAATAGTGGGCACCTCCTTCTAGGGTTATCACTCCCACTGGAGAGCATGAAACCCAGAGGCTGGACAGATGGCACCTACCAGCATGTGTGTGGGCTGATGTGTGTGGGCTGGATAGTGGGGCTGGTTAGGTTGAACAAGGCTTCAATGCCCATTGAAATGTGTAAGAGCTGAATGGGATGTGGGACAGACTGGATCAGTCTGCTGTACATACTGGCAAGTATGGGAACCAGGGTAGGGCCTGGTGGGGGTTATTGAGGATTGCTCCGACTAGGCTCCAGCTCGCATTGGTTTGTGTGAAGGTCAGTTGTGCTGGGCATAATAGGGCTTACTTACACCCATTGGTTTGTGTAGAAGACAGGTCTGGAGACAGAACTGAACCAGCAATTGCAACCACCAGCATGTGCATAAGCTGATTGGGGTGACGGACTGTGCCAGACCCTGTACAGGCAAGCACACACAAGAATCAGGTCTGGGATCACCACAGGCAAAGTTTCTTTCGGGATCCCTCCAACTGAACTGCTGATCTCAGAACCCCAACCATGAGGAGAATTGCAGGTTCCATGATCTGACCATTGAGTGCATGTGTCACAGCTGAGCCTCCTCAGAAGCTTAGACAGAGCAGTGGCCAGCATATCCAGGTGCACATGGAGGATAGGCAGTCCATCAGAATCTGCAGAGGACACCTGGTACCACAAAAGAGGATGGAGGACAGAAAAAAATCAATCAACTGCCCCAGCCATGTGTTGGCAGTGAAAATCTGGGCAAACACAGACTCTGAAGTGAACTATGTCAGCCAGTGGATTCTGGAGAGGTTTCATCGTGCTTGGAATAGCGAGTTTGGCAGCAGTTCAGAAGTGTTGAACTATCAAAACTGCTTGAGCAGGACCCTCGGAGCATGCCTCACGCCGGAGACCTGGGATGGATGGGAGGCTGGGTGGGGCTTCTTCCTTTGTTTCTCCCCACTTACCCCAGATACAGTGTGGAAATAATAATAATAATAATAATAATAATAATAATAATAAAAACAATGGTTTTACCCACTTTCCTGTAGCCCTTGACCCTTTGTGCCTTAATCAACTATGTAAAAATTATCAAATAAAATAATTTACAAAATGCATTGGAGCAGTGCATTTTCTCAACTGCCTAATCCTTTCCCTATATGGACAGCTTCCTATATGGATGCTGTTTCTAGTTGTGGCTGCACTACTTTTATCCAACTCTAAGTTTACCACCTTTGAAAACAACAGAAAATGGCTCATGTCCCTGGGCTCCTACACCAGCGTGGGAGACCCAGCAGAGTCTCCTGGCTCCTGTTTTAGATTCAGCTCAGCTCTAGCCTTTACTGCTATTTGGAGAGTGAATCAGTGGATGGAAGATATCTTTTTCCATTTCTCCTTGTTTTGTAGATGTGCTTTTCAAATAAAAATAAATTTAAAAGGGAGGGATTTACAGAGAGTTCTTCTATCCATTGGTTCACTCATCAGTGTCACAATGGCTGGAGCAGATCTAACTCTGTTAATTCTCCGGTTCTCTCACCAGAGTGGCAAGGAACGAGGTTCTTAGATTGAATCACTTGCTGTTTTCCCAGGTGCAT